CTGCTTTATTTGAACTCTGTTGGTGCATTTTGAAAATTGATGGTATTTGACAGTTTGTGAGCTGCATAGTAATGCACAGGACAGAAACATCTTCAAGTATGTCTTCAAGCCACAGAGCTGAAATAACCTGTTTTTTTAGGGAGATTCTCTGTTGTCACAGCTGCAGCCATTTTATAACGTAGTAATTTTTCTTTCCAACCCTAAGTAATGATACTCCATTCTTGAGAATATGCTGTCCAAGAATAAGAACAGTCTCAGGATTAGTTACACGATTCCCATTTATTGAAACTCCTCCATCTGTAATTTTCTGGTACCTTAAAAAAAACAACAAAAAATAAATGGTAATTGCAAAAGGAAACTACTTATTGCCATTAAGTATTGAAAGTCCACTTAAGGGTTTTTTTCTTGGATCCATAATTGAGTAAATTTTAATTCTCTTGCACTTCATTTTCAGTCCAGCTCAAGAGTGACTGAAATAACCTTAGCCTCTACTACTCCAGTTCTGTCTGAGAGGTGTAGGGAAACCTAGGCTGTTGCTTTAGGTTGTCCCTTGATCAGGTGTAGATTTTACAGCTGAGGTACATAAGGCTGTGTTAGTATATACTTCAGAATGGAATGAGGTTGTGTGCTCGCCTCTTCTTTAGTGCTGCTATGTAGATCACAGCCTGTTTCTGCTTGATTTGGCTGTTCTGATCATTTAACTTCTGACCCCAGACTGCTACAACTGTTTAGGTGAGTAGAGCACCAGGTGAGAACTTACCCACTAGGTCCATCTGGAATGGCATTGGCTTTGCAACACAAGTCAAGAACACTCATTCCAGGTTCAAGCATCAGTTCAGCAGAAGGAGCTTGTCTAAAAAGTTCCTGTAACTCTAGGTCAGACATCTCTTCCAGAGCCTCCACACTACTGTAATAAAGGGCCTTAGTGCACCTGTGAGAACAAAGATCATTCAGAATACAGAGCCAGACTCATTTTCACACAAAGTGCTATTCAGACAAGGAGATTCCTCTCCCCAATTTCTCCTGAGTCCACAAACAAAGAGAATTACTTAAAATACACCTCCATTTTTTATTGTACCCCACTGCCCTGCGGATTTTTTTTTATATTCTTAATGTATTTTTAAGTCTACAGAATTATTACATTTTTCTCTTTTAACATCTGAGCAACAACTAAATACATTTAAATAGTCTCTGAAAAGAGAATCATTACCATTTAAAAAATCTGAAACAAAACTGCTTGACAAAACAAACTTCACCTCTTAGCAGATTCTAGCCCCTCTCTGCCATGGACAAGCTTGGTTACTTCTGCAGCCAGTCGTTTCTGAGGGCCCCATTTTTCAGGTTCTTTAGCATGCATTTCCATGATGTGGGCAATCTCCTCAAGAGGTAGGAAAGTGAATAGTTTCAGGTATCTACAAGCAGAGAAAAAAAATATTTGTTTGTATAGCCTTCATTACAGATTTCCCGCCTTTGTCATTCAAACTTTTTTAACTCACTAAAATGATTCTTAATCCATTTAAGAAATCCATATGACAGATATTTAATTAATGCTTAATTGTGTGAGTTATGGTACATGAATAGAAATAAATGGTGTGTTTGTCCAGAGGTGGGCTAAGTTATGACTACTACTAGCTTTGAAGAGGTTTATGGAACTAGTAATTTAACCAGGTATATGAATTTTGTTCATTCTGTTTTTCTCCTCTGCTTTAGTTTTTGCTTTAACTGCTTTCAACAGTGACTCAAAACTGGTGCCTGAAAACCTCTACTTTGTATACTTGTATTTATATTCCTTGTATACCCTCTGCCAAGAGTTTAAAATGGTATAGCTTTCTCCCCTTTTTATTTGCACTACTGCCAGTGTCACTGCCTCCTAGGCATGTCTTCATCTAGGCCAGTGGTCTCCAAAGTGGGGTGACAGCAGCCTAGGAGGTAGGCAAGACCATTGGGGTACAGGAAGAAAGTATTAGAAGTTCAGTAATACTACACTTCTGTAAATAAATAAAGAAATATACATGTACTGGGAGTGAATGCTTAGAATTTCTTTCACTGATAAGAGCCTGTGATCAAAAAAATTTGGAGATCACTGATCTACAGTTAATACAATCATAAATATTAATTTATTGGTTTTTTCTTAACAAGGCAACATTCAGATCTGTTTAAGGATATGCAGATTTGAATGTCATGCAGTTGCAGTTCTAAAAGCTGACCTCTGTTTATAACTAGTTATAAACAGCTTCTCACAATTAGAATGTGATCCTTCTTGATACCTCATTCTAAGTCAAAACTTGTAGTAATTAATATATATTTAAGTGCAGTTGCTTATTAATCAGCAGGAGAGACTTCACTGATGCTGAGATGCTCAGTACTGAAACTAACACACCTTGTAAGAAAGAGTCACCCCACAGGCAAACAAAATGCACTGTGCTTCACTTGTTTGTTCATCCACCTCCTAATTTTCTTATGCATATGACGGGTTCCACTTCGCTATATACTTAGGAACCAGTTATGCTTGTTTGTTTAATGATTGTACAGTTATAATTAACATATACTTCTACCTGGAGCTTGTGTTGCACATATCCAAATGAAACAGTTACGGAGAACAGTTAGGATCGGGTTTTATAAACAATGATAAAAAGCAAGATGAAGAACAACTTACTTTTCAACTACATTATCTTGTTGTCTGACAAAAAACTGATACAGCTCAAATGGAGAAGTCTTGTCTCTGTTTAGCCAAACTGCATTTCCAGCAGTCTTTCCCAGTTTATCTCCAGTAGTACTGGTAATAAGAGGTACAGTAATTCCAAACACATCTGTTCCTGTCATCCTGAAAAAGAAAAGATGCACCGCACGTTAAAAAAAAAAAATTACATCTTGGTAAAACTGACTAAAATACAAACATTCTGCAAGGTCCTGTCCTTAATATAAAGCAGTTAAATAAGACAGGGAGTGAGGAACAAAAGATGCCTGAACAGATGTTCTGAAAAGAGTGCTTTAGGGCAAAAACAAGTTTTTAAGTTCTTTTATGTGTATCAAAGAAGTTGACATACTCGAGGTAGTTTCATGAGCAACAGCATTAGCAGATTCATTGTCCCAGACCTCTTGTCTTCTGCCCCGGGTACTAATCGAAGCTGCTGGTGTGGCTGGGACACTTGTAAGGTTTTTCCTCTGTGCCCATTCTCTGTCTTGTAATAATCAAGCCCGTACTGAAGTAGAAGCACTGCCACATCCTCACTGATTTATACTCCTGCAAACCTTCTAAAACTCGCACTAAATTTGGTGGATAAGCAAAAAGCGCATCATCGTCACATTTTATTTCTGAGAAGGAATGGAGCAATCTTGACCAATATACCACAACTCCCTCTACTTCAGTGTGATCACACCAGGATCCATGTGCTGGCAGAGGACTTGTCCTGATTTTGTCCCATGCTTCAGGGTATTTGATTTTGTTTCTTGGATCCACTGATAAAAAAATCCATCCTTTTTGTTAAGAATTCATTAACGATTCATAGAAAATGCTTAAACCCTGGCCAAAATGTACATATGTGTCAGGCTTATGGTCAGGCCAATTAATTATTCCTCTCAAATCACAGTTTTATGTAAGGCCAAATCTCTTGAGGGTTGACGTCTGCTCCTGGTGCTTTAGTGACTGTCAGCACCAAGTCACACAGCATTTGGTCACAGAATCAACTGGGTTGGAAGAGACCTCTTGAGATCATGAAGTCCAACCTATGACCACCTCATCTACTCGACCATAGCACTCATTGCCACATCCACTCCTTCCTTAAACACCACCAGGTGACTCCACCACCTCCCTGGGCACCCCGTTCCAATGCCTAATCACTCCATCTGTGAAGAACTTCTTCCTAATGTCCAACCTAAACCTCCTCTGGTGCAGCTTAAGACTGTGTCCTCTTGTCCTGTCACTTGTTACCTGCGAGAAGCGGCCGATCCCCCTCTGGCTACAACCTCCTTTCAGGTAGCTGTAGAGAGCTACAAGGTCACCCCTGAGCCTCCTTTTCTCCAGGCTAAACAGCCCCAGCTCCCTCAGCCGCTCCTCACAGGACATGCACTCCAGACCCTTCCCCCAGGCAGCTCCACTGCCCTTCTTTGTACCCGCTCCAGCACCTCAACATCCTTCCAGAACTGAGTGCTCCAGAACTGGACAAAGCACTCGAGCTGCGGCCTCACCACTGCCAAGCATTGGGAGAATCTCTTCCCCAGTCCTGCTGGCTACACTATTCCCGACGCAGGTCTCCCGGTACCCAGACCACGCGCACCACCCCCGGCCCCGCCGTACTTGGTGACGAGCTCGTAGCCGGACATGATGTTTCCCATCTGGTCGTGGCCCCCCAGCTGGATGCGGCAGCCGTGGTGCTGGTGCAGGTGCAGGAAGTCGTACGCCTGGAGCGCGGGGTACAGGAATTCCGCCAGGCTCATCCCGTCGGCGCTGCGGAGTCGCGCCTGGCAGCTCTGCCGGCTCAGCAGCGTGCCCATGCGGAGCCGCCCGCCGGCCCCGCCCAGGAACCGCAGCAGCGGCTCGCGGCCGAGCCAGCTGGCGTTGTCCAGCAGCTCGGCCCGGCCCAGCCGCCCGGCCCCCGGCTCCCAGAACAGCTCCCGGTGGTTCTGGAAGAGCCGCTCCAGCCCCGCGCGCAGGGCCCTGGCGTGCGCGCGCGCCGTCCCGGCCGGCAGCGGCTCCCGCGCGCGCTCCCGCCCGCTGGGGTCCCCCAGCCGCGCGGTGGCCCCGCCCACCACGGCGATGACGTCGTGCCCCGCGCGCTGGAAGTGCAGCAGCGCCATGACGGGCAGCAGGTGCCCCACGTGCAGCGAGTCCGCCGTGGGGTCGAACCCGCAGTAGGCGGCCAGGGGCGGCCGGCCCGGCGCCAGCAGCGCCGGCAGCTGCTCCTCCGCGCTCTGCGCCGGGAACACCTCCTGGAACAGCCCGCGCTCGCACTGCGCCGCCAGCAGCCCGCCCGCGCCCCGCGCCCGCCGCGGCTGCTCGTGGGCCCGGCGGCGGGGCGGGAGCGGGG